AGTTAAGAAGATTTTGCATACTATACGTGCACTGGTGTCAAGCGAAAATCACCTTCTGGATATTCGATACATATATTTCCGTTGATCCAAATTTATACGCATGCTTCCACTTCAATTTCTAGTCTGCTAAAAAATACGATGTTGTCTACTCAGATATGTGCTATTCGCCGCATTAAATAGACAGCATTATTAGTGAATGTATATCAACTACACACCTGAAGATCCAGAGTATTCGCTGGACGTGTCGGACTCTGTGGATGGCGAAACAGCGCCTGTCCGTACCACATCGTGTTCTATTGTCGGTAATTTATTCGAAGCCACCATTACTCTCCTAGTGCCCCTGTGATTTATCTTCACTGTTGCCTCTATCTGATATTTATAAACAGATTACAATAGCATCAGCCACCCCTGGGAAAAGCTACGGCGCATCAGGTGGGGCTGGTGGGCTCCAAAAGACTACTGCTATAAAAATACCAGTATTTTCAAAAATCAGAAGGTGGTAAAACTAAAACGATGACAAAGCACGCGAGAGTTTTTCTTCTTTGTTGATAAACTAATGTTTTTCCAAAGTCCTCTATTTTGGGTTTTAAAAAATATAAAACATATAAAAACCCAAAAACTCGTTTCGGCAAAGGTACAGTATGACTGTCAGTACTCAGTACGACTGTCAGACTGTCAGTATCAGCCTATCAGAGTGTCAGTAGTCACTAGTCAGTGAGTCACTACTCACTCTAGTCCAGCACTCTCTCTCAGTCTCTCTGCTAAGTATTTAGTAGCCATAACTCCCCATAAGCCAGTACTGAGTACAGGACTCGGTTATATATATATATATTATTATTTTTAAACTTTACTGTGTTCTTTTGTTCTATATATTTACGTATTCTTTAGAAAATCGACTTCTTGTACAGCTGTTTTTTTTGGGTTCGTTTTTTTAAAAAGATATTAATGTTCCGGTCTCCGGATACCCGCAGTCCGCAGAAACTATCAATTAAGCCAGAAAGAAATATTTATAACTCTGCAAGACTGCAAATAAGAATGTCTGAAAAAAAAAACAGCGAGTGGTTGCGAGGAGTAAAGACCAAAGACTTTCATCAGTGATCGACATCGAGAGAGTGATAGACTCAAAACTCAAAAGTCAACAGTCAACACACTCAACTTCACAAGAAGAGAGCGAGGAGTCAAGAGAGGACGCAAGCCTATTATTAGAAACCCTAGTTGTGTAGGGAGAAACATATTTGTTTTTGTTTTTTTATAAAAAGGGAAGCAAACCCTGAATAAATTCTAACAAAATTTACTCAATGATGATATGACACGGTCAGACATCGTTGAGTGTCGAGTTGTTGACTGTCGACACAACAAGCAAGAGTTGACAACACAGTGACAGACCGTACTCAGCACTGTGTGACACTGACTGTGAGTCTGCGCGACTGCTGTGTGGCTTACTCAGTAAATACTGGCGCCAGTTCTAAAATTCAGTTCAATGACTCACTTTTATACTCGTCACAGTTACGAGTCACATCATAGAGTATGTATTTACTTTTTCTTTTAATAAAGGATACAAATAGTATCTCACTTCAGGTCAAACTCTCACAGAGAGTCATAATAAATTTTTATGTATTTACGTATTTACATATATATCAGAAGGGGAGACTGGGTGACTTGGGGGGCTCTGGCGGTCTGGCCGCTGTCTCAGGCTCGACTGTGGTCTGTGAGTCTGTGACTAAAGTCAATACGTTTTGCGATTAGACGTATATATTTTGAACAAGAAGACGCTTACGTTCGGCGATTGAATCATGCCGGCCCACCGTTGTATCTATGGGTGCATATTTCAGGGCTCTCTACTAGCCCCTAACTTACTATAAAGGTTCAAATTTTCAAAACACTTCTGTCTACTAGTAGTGTCCGTTTTTGGAAGAATTCTAAAAATAGGTCGGATTTTTTTTTAACCCTTTGACCAGTACATATGTGCTACATTTATATATATTTTTTATAATATGTAATTGAACAAGAGTGTTTACGTTAAAACTTTTAAAATTTGGACCCTTGCTGACAGATTGAGATTGAAAAACTTTTTGGACTGGGGACAGTGGGACACTCTCAGTCTCTGGGCCCTCTCTCTCTCAGAGAGAGAGTAGAGGACTGGTAGGGACTGGGGTCGACTGGAGGCTGGGGAAATGTTGATTTCAGAATGGCAAAGTGCAAACCAATAGGAACGGTATGTGAAGAAATAGCTTTTTTTTTTAGGGTTCAAACTTCAATCATAGCCTTCTGTTCAATTTCATATTTTCATAAATAAAAATAGCTTTCTATGGTGTATTTCTTCCTGGATCCGTTTTTGTTTTGTTTTGTTTTTTTGTGTTTATTTTTAAACAAATAACAAAAGGCAGAAAAATTAAAATTAAAATACTGTACATAGTAAATAAATACAAATAACTCTCGAAGGCTCGAGTTGGAACTTGGAAGTTTGGTAGAAAGTGGCAATCGGGATGGTTGTGAATCTATGCCCGTTGTGGTCATGCTCGAATATAACCTGTTGTTCATCTGGCTTCTACATTCATTCGTAACAGATAATAGACTTAACATACAAGTATACTGTTATTAACGCTTAGCTAACCGCAGTCATGGGTCGGGCTAGTTTAACCCACGGATCTGCTTCAGCTCAGGGTAGCGCCAAGAAAAGTAAGTGTATCTATGCCTTGTAAGTTAATTCCTCGCTAGTGTATCCCACGTTGAAGTTATATTGTATAAGTAACGTTGCAAGGAATGGGTGTATTGGTGCAAGACTAAACATTGTCCTTTCATCTTTTCAACATCGCTCGAGTTTATTTTATTATTTGGACGACGCAGCCACAGATAGAACAGGTGTGATTGTGACTGAACTCGACGTTGCACGGAAGCGATTGAACTGGAATATTATCAATAAACTGCACTCAGCGATTGAAATCTAAAAGCATGTACTTTGAAACACCCATATAACAACCGTAGCACTTTCTCGTACTCGTTTACATTTGTGAGGCTCGACTTCTGCCTTAGAAAGACCGATATGTAGAGGAAAGCCAACTTGGGTATACGGCAACCCAGCACAACAATGTGCCTTTAGCCGTCTCGCCATAGTGGTCAAACTGTAGCGTTTAGATGTTACGACAGTCTGCAGGATTTTCAACCCGTGGTTTTCTTTCCTCCAGGAACGGAGTAGGCGATATTGACGCTGGGGGTCAGCTTCGTAACGAGCAATTAGTTATAACTTTCTCAACCATATCAATCTTTACATTCCATTGGTAGCCGCACTAAGCAATCTGCACTTACTTACAGCTTGCCTTCTGCAGACGTTTATAGAATCTTTTGAACTCTTTCAGGTGGAGCATACAACTGGGGCAATCTTCGTCCGGACATTTCAATAGATTTTTTTCTACCAAAAATTTAGAGTTCTATACACATACAATTGCAACGTCAACCACAGCTTACCATCTCCAAACATCGAATTAATCACTACAAATATTTCCATCACACCGCGTTGCATCACAGACGGAGGTGACGGCATGTACACCTATGACAGTCTTTATTGCGAATTTTTAATCGAACTTTCCCGTAAATGCAAACACACCCGAGGCAATCGTTTCAATAGAACGTTCTCAAAACATCATTCATCCATCCTGTACTTCAATTGCTGCAGCAACCACAGCTTACCATCTCCTGGTATTTAAACCCTACACCTCTCCCATCACAACACAGACGGAGGTGGCGGCAAATACACCTGGGGCAATCTGGGTGATGAGTATCTCGGTATTCCCGAGAGTGACAAAGGAGACCCCAACCACTCGGACGGTGACGCCAGTGTGCACACCACATCCGAGTATCGCATGGATGAAGGTCACCACACATCGTATCTGCCCAATGACTTCCGCGAAGATGTCGAGCCCATTATTAAGGAGTACTTCAACTCCGGTGATTCCGGTGATGTGCTGGAAAGTCTGCAGAAACTCGGCGAAGGGGTATGTTTGTGTTTAATGGAGCCTTGCCTGTAGGCTTAGTTCCTGGGTTTTCGAAAGTATAGTTGTAACAACTCGATGTTCGGTATTACCTCGTCTGTGAGACGAGCATTCGGTTGTTCTCTATAGATATACCCTTCTCACTATCTGTACGAGATCTTCCTCGTTTTTGGGTTTTTTTTTGGCACGGGCATTTCCAGGTTTGTTTCTTCTCATTATTATTTCTGGATGATTCTCGCCTGGATTCGTTCGAGCTGTTGTTGTACACCTATATATCATCTATGGGTGCCGTTTGATATCGCAATACATCTACTAGTTGTACTAGAAGATACATATCGGGGTTAACGAAAGATGTCACCTTTGACGCAATGCGATAATTTAGTTGGTTCTATTAATTTGGAAACTTTTTTTTCTCACTGGGCGTGTGCGTCTCAATAACTGGTCGTCATTGTGCACTTATTGCACACGTTGTGAGGAAAGTTCTGGCTCATTATTACCTTCAAACCTTCCATATATGTAGTCCATTACTCATGCTCTGGCTCTACTTGATTTTTCGCGTTTAAATATAGGAATTCATCACAGCGGGCCTTCTAACGGGCCTTTCACTGGCCATGGAACGGCACCGCGCTGAGCGAGAGCTCATAAGTTGTTTGATCACCGACTTCGTCTTCGAACACAAGGTGGCGAACTCGGCCATGATCGCGGAAAGTATGTGCTTATGTGTTCAATAACCGTTTACTTGTACACATACATGCTGGCAAGCGTTACTAAGTAATCTTAAAATATGCTTTTACTTGTTTACTTGTACACATACATGCTGGCAAGTGTTTACTGGATAATTCTGTAATAGGCGTTTCACCTAATTGTACATCCCAATACAAGAGTATTTCGCTCGTCACGATTGCCGCCGGTGTGCCTTCCCATCCGTGCGCAAACCATATATTAATTGAACACGCGCAGGTATACTTGAACATGAATACCCGTAACTGTCATGGCGTATATGTCCCTTCACCTTGCACGTGTGAACTATACCTGAGATTCGGTATGATTCGACGTCGTCTAGACGTGTTGGAGTCAGCCAGTCGGGATGTACTGTATTTGGCGGCAGATTTTACTATATCCAGAACGGGTTGATGAAACATGTCTATATATATAGCACCTGCGTATGGGTGTGCTCGCTTGGCTTCGCTTCGTTTTTCTGTCAGGTGTTACCAGTTGTATGTCCACGAACGGTACCTGCACTCACTACTTTGCCACCCACAGGGACTTGTACTCACTAACACCTCCCTTGCCTCCATCACAATAGCCTTCCAGGCTATGCTCTACAACATCGACGAGTTGGCGACTGACATCCCAGAGGTTGCCACTTTCTTGGGTCGCTTTATCGCGCGCGCAGTAGCCGATGATGTCATTGCTCCTGCGTTTGTCACATCCAACCGAGTTCAAGATGATGCTGTACGTGCCGATGAGGCCCTGAGTATCGCCCACAAGTTCCTCAACATGAAGCACGGGTATGTGAGGGTTTGTTGTGCAACTTACATACATGTATGCATACCATGCATATGTACAAACCTACTTGTATGCATATGCATGTACTTTAAAACATCTCAATATGAAGCACGGGGTGAGAGGGGTTCGTCCATACAATCGGAGGCACTGTGGAAGCGTGTGTAGTAGTACTTATGCCTGCCCTTGCTGCGCTAGTGCGTATGGACAAGTATCGAATCAAATATAGATGCTTATGTAAACGTGTCTCAGATTTGGATATATGGTGTTATTGAAGTCGGGATCGACTTCAATAGGGATATTGGATTCATTGCTCGTTTAGAATCTCCATCTGTTTAACTTGTCGTCAGAAGTGCTGCATTTCTATTCAACATTTTATTTTTAAAGCGCTGCATGTGCAACTCTTTTATATCTGAGTCACAGCTATTCTTGTCTGAAGCACATTAGACGCGCAAAATTATGCAATGATGATTCCGTAGGCAAAATTTATTTATATATATATATATAAATGTTTTGTGTGTGTGTAGTGTGGTTAGCCAAAAGAATATACGTGGAAATCGGAACTGCGAATGATGCGCAGAAGCTACGAGTTACTCGGCAAAAAGTTTATATATACTCGGACATATATGCATATACTTAGTCTGATATCTATAGTGAATGCCTACTTCGCATATATAGGCCATTTTGTGGGTTCATCCACATTATGTAAACAGACCAGGTGAAAACACTCAAATATATATATATGCGTATGCGGGAGAACTATGTTTATACACGTATAAGCATCAGCGCTTCCTTTCGAGCGATGCGGGCTCAAACAGGTATGCACCCTTGCGAATACATATAGCATTACTAAACAATCCTTGTTCAAGCAGGTAAACCACTTATAACCTCGAGTCTGACTATGTAACCTTCGATTCTTGTACCAACAGATACTCGCGCTTGGAGAATGTGTGGGGAGTGGACGGTGCCCGTCGACCCATTGCATATCTGCGTGAGAAGATGCACGATCTGCTCGAGGAGTATGTGCTATCCAGCGATGTCGACGACCTCGAGAAGTCGCTCAAGGAACTATCCGTACCGCACTTCAATCACGAGTTAGTGTACCAAACCATTGTGTATAGTATCGAGGCCAAGCCCGACACCCGCAGCGTGGTGATGGAGAAGATGTCCAAGGTGATTGGTCGTCTGGAGAACGACGGGTTCCTATCGGATGATCAGATTAACATGGGTCTGACTCGCGCGTTTGCGGATCTCGAGGATCTGTGCCTGGATGTGCCGGATGGTAAGCAGGTATTCCAAGAGCTTACGTCACTGGCAGTACAGGACAAGTGGGCCACTGATGTGACGGTGGAGATGGCCAGACGCAGGTCGTCGAGTACGCTGGTGGCTCAGGCCTAAGGTGTGTATGCCTGTATGGGAACGAATGAATGTGCAAACGACGATTTCCTCTATGGTTTTTGGTAGGGTTGTGTGCCAAAAATCAAACAAGGAGCACAGTTCAGTGAGTGAGAGAAAGTGATGACAGGCCAGGGAAGAGCCGTTTCTAGGGTGGGTATAATAATACACGCACACTCTCCGTTCATGACCACTTTGCGCACATCCAATTACCAGCTTCTTTCAACGGGTTGCACGAGGTCACTTGACCTTACCAACAAATGTCAAGGCGGCCTACGAGTATCTACCAGTATAACATAGTAACATGACCAGACAAAAACAAGATGAAAAGCAATCGAAAGAGAAAGAACTGAAGACTTCCAGATACCCTTGCGGATATGTAACAGCTTCATACCAAAAAGATTGGTATGGTGTATAGTGGAAGTGTGATGAAGTGACTCTGCGAACGAGGCCGAGATAGCTTCTTGGCAGATAGTATGAATAAAGCACAATCGATTTTGTTTGTTTTTTCTATGTCGGAATCTATATTGAAATTTAGGGCGTTGTCTGTCTCGGTATTCGTTTTTCCTCCATATAGTTTTGCTTTCGTTATATTTACCACCGAATGCTGCCCATGCAGTATTATCGATAGTGCACTCGCTTACCTCGCAGACAATGTATGCGGGTATAGCAAGCACGCTCGAAATGGCGTGTATATTACTATTCGCGAAAACCGCATGGTGTGCACACGCTTACCTCGCAGATAATGTATGCGGGTATAGCAAGCACGCTCGAAATGACGTGTATATTACTATTCACGAAAACCGCACGGTGTGCACTCGCTTACCTCGCAGTTAATGTATGCGGGTATAGCAAGCACGCTAGGAACGACGTGCATATTACTATTCGCGAAAACCGTATGGTGTGCACTCAAGTACGTGAATGTCATATGCGTGATTTTCTTCGAAAGCAATAATAGGCATGAGAGTATCGCGGATACCATGGATGAGAAGTTTTGAAACAGCTGGAAATGTGATGAAAATTGCCGTAAAAAAAAGAACCGAAGTATCACAAAGTTGGGAGCGCGCGAACAGTTGTTGACCTCTAGAAATGGTATTGGCAAGTCGAGCAGTACTGTAGGGTTCATCATCTTTACCGTTTGCTTGCTAATTATAACCTGGTGTTGAGCAACCCTTGTGGCGGCTTGGTGCGCATATATGTCGTATGATATGCTTTTGAGAGCAGAGTGCACAAATCAGACGTCGACAAAATGTGCACACAACTACAGGTTTGCTCTGTTTTATTTCCTACCTTCACACTACCTTCATTTTATTTCCTTACGTTGTCGAGAACACATGAATATATATATATATAT